GGACGAAGACGACGATGGCCGCGCGTGGAGGCGCAGTCGGCTGTGCCAAGGATGAAGACGACGACGGGGCGGATGGCGCCGGTGGTCGTCCATGGAGGCGCAGTCGGTTTCTCACTTTTGCGCCGATTCAAGTGATCCGCTCATGCGAATGGGAGGCTAGCCAACCTGAAGGCCAACAGTTCTCCTTGTACGTGCTTGGATGGATGTACGCTTTCCTTCTGTTTGCGATGCTTTGCTCGTTCTGCAGATGAACAATATAGAAAATGTGTTAAAAGAATCAAACCGAACAGAGGGCACCAGCAAGAACCGATGTGCCGCTGGTGGTAGAAGAAATAACCATCTGCATTATGGCTCGATAGACGCCATGCCCCAAGGTGGGCGCCAACTATCGTGGTAACAATTCCGACAATAAAAGAGGGGTAGGATAAAGAAGCATGATCTATCAAGATGCATATGGGTGACACGGTGGTTTTAGCGAGTTCGGGCCTCTCACGGTGAAGATAACAGCCCTACGTCTCGTGCTCCGGAGAGGCTTTGTTTTATCTGAGTATGTATCCGAAGATTACAATGTGTATTTGAGAGAGAGAGCGAGAGAAGAGCGGATCTCATGTCTAAGCCATGTCCTGAGACTAATGGTTGGAAATAGGGAGAGGTGGAAGAAAAAAGCCCCCCTAGTCTAGTGGTGGGGGTGGCTTATATAGAGCGCGCCACCCCCTCACCTCCTATGTTACAAAGTGGGGCATGAATGTCATAATGCCAGCCCACTACCAAGCCCTCACTATGAGAGTGATGCCGACTGCTTTGCTGCCTGCTGGTCTTCGTATATCCGAGTGAGTCGTACGGTCGAGTGGTGAACTGTCATCCAAGTGGATGGTATGCTGATTGGTCGAGTGGATAGTATGCTGCTTGTCCGAGTGGATAATATGTCTGTATGAAATTTATCTGGACTCACATGTTGTGTAGACCCCATACTTCATGATATTTTGACCCTTCATGGGCCTACCTGTTATGTGTATCCCCAACAACGGCCTCATGCAATCTTCAAATTCAGCCAGGATCACTGCATGCCGACTCACATGCCACGGAGATCCATCACGCACGCGATCACAATCACGGCTATTCTCAAACTCCGCAACAAAGGTATTCTCCCCCACCGGCTTGAAGAACAGTCCCCTAGGGTTTCCTCAGGCCGGCCTTAGCGCGTTTGTATGTGGAGCACCTTACGATGCAGAACCTTGCCAGCGATCGCACACTTCTGCTGGACTCCATCATCGATATCATCCACCACTAGAGGGGTGGCTTCTTCCTCCATGAGATCCAGCTTTCCCATTGCCTCCTCCATCCGTGCCCTTGCCGCACGAGGCGACTGCTGCCCCCTTGCGCTGCTGCTTGGATCCGTAGACGTAGCCATCAGCGGACCAACGAGAGATGCACCCCGCCGACGAAGGTCGACGAGCGCCGCTTTTCCACTGAAACCCTAATCGCCTCCGCAGGGGCTCCTAGTTTTTCGGGAAACCCGGGTGACCCTCACAGCTATTCGCCAGGCACGTAATAGTGGTGGCGGACTCTGAGAATACCTTAGCTGGGTGTAATTACCACGCTCACGTAATTAATGATAAACCCAAGGGATAATACGAACACCGTATATGATTCCATTGCACGGTCGGAGTCGGATACGGAAACCGAATCCCGTACGTGTGTGGTGTGGTGATCGATGGTGTCCGTCACCGATTCGTATCGAGTGGGTACGTAAGTCTACCTACCTTTTTATACTCCGCGGCTCCGTCTATATAGACACACACAAGGGAAGGTACTACACGTTCGCTGGAAAATACTCTAGAATCGATCAGAAAACTAGCTGTGTTTTCTCCATCGTCCAGCCGAGAGGAGGCTATGAAGATCCGGCATGCGCTCACCCAATCCGTCACCTTCCTCGGTACATATATAGGCCTCTTTTTTCAGTGTTCTTCAGCGTTGATATTTTGCTTCTGTCTGTTCTTCTTCTTCTTGAAGAATTTTTAATTAAATTTGGAATGCAGTTATGGTCGTTGCATTGTTGGTGCTGGTGCCCGAGGGAATAATGCTAGTGACGGGTGTCAAGACACCGGCGATGGCCGTTTTGTCGGAAAGTATGGAGCCTGGAATTAAAAAGGTACGTGATACAATTTGTTTTTAAATGTGGGCTTCAGTTTGTTGCCCCCTTTGATTTCGACCGACATATTGATAAATGCATGCATGGAATATGTGCTTATTTTGCAGGGTGATATGGTGTTTGTGCACAACATGAGCAATGAACCTTTCCACGTAGGAGAGATCATTCTTTTCAAGGTTGATGGCTTTGAACATCCAGTTGTCCATCGCGTGATCAAGGTAACAGCAAGCCCTCTAGTGATACACACCAATCAAATCATTAAAAGTTTATATGTCATGTTTTGTTTGCCTTGAGAATAATCTTCTCAAATTATTCTAGGTTCACGAGCATCGAGATACTGGAGAAATCCGAATACTCACCAAAGGGGACAACAATTCAGTGGATGACCGATTTCTCTATGCGAGTGGGCAGCTTTGGCTTCAACCGCATGATATTATTGGACGGGTTGCAGGGTGGGTTGTTCTCTTATCATGTGTCTACTATCAAATTTGGACATGTATTAATATGGCTGTATATATACCTTGCTCTACCGTTTCAATTGATTAATGTCTTTGCATTGTTAATTTTGTGTTTTATCCAATGCTAACAGCTACCTGCCATATGCTGGATGGCCTACTGTCTTCATCAGTGAATCTTATAAGGTACGCAAGCACACATTGTATTATGGTTAATTTCTGTATATGCCATTGTTTATTTAATTAAATACTCACACAGGGTCTCTCTTTTCCTTCTAATGAAAGATGTTGCTGAATGGTCGAAGCACTACAACTCCTGAAGTATACTGGGTAACAATGTAACCGCGGCAGATTCATGTGGGTTGTCTCCATAATGTCTTGTTAGGGGTTAAAGAATGCATGAAGCGACGAAGAGTATGTAAAAGATGTATCATTATCATAGTCTCCACAACATAGTAATCGAGCTCCATCCGTCTTGTTGAAGTCATTTTCTATAGCACGGTCGACAAGATTTCTTTTTTCGAGAACGCGCAAAAGTCTTACATTTCTTTGCACGATCGACATGATTCTAACTCCTTCTTTGAAAGGTAGATTTTGATGAAACATGTTGTTAGATGTATTCTTCTTCTTTTTTGACAAAGGGTGAATTTTATTGACTCAAAACAAAGTATTATGTGGATACAAAAACAATGAACACACACTGCATTGGCAACGACGAGTGTGAGTAGCCATCGAAGGGTCAGTACACCCTGGTCGGAGAGCAGATGGCGGTTGCAGGACGTTGGATCTGAGGGACGAGTTGGAGGCACCAAGGTGAGGCAGCGCACGTCCTTGCTGTCACCCTCCACTGTGGGGCCCGAGGGCCTCCTTCAAGAACGGTGAGGGAGGGAAGCTGTGGTAAAGGCCTCTAGGAGTGGCAGCGGCCTCCGTAGTCGCCCACGAGCGACCCAGGAGGCAGTTTAGGTCGTGTATTGGGAGGCAATTCACATATAGAGCAGAAGAGAAGCAATTATTTGCTACGTGCTATGGACTCGGTCTTTGCTTTTTTTAGCTTAAGACCCACCTTTTTTAATGTATAAAACTCGCCAAGGTCGACTTTAGAAGCATTAAGACAAATCTTATGTCCACTTTAAAAACGCCTACATCAAATCAGTCTTGCGTATCTTTTTGTGGGCAAATTTTAATATGGGACACTCTTATCTTCTTTTTACATGAGAGATAAGAGTATATAATAGATCTGAGCTTGTGGATCCAAGATGAATTTAATGAAACACGAGAATCTCACTCTTGAACAACCATCGTTAAAAAAATACATTTGGATCGAAATAGAGCTACAAGAATAATGATAAACTTTAGAAGAAACAAAAGAATCTAAAATAAATACTTAGTGAGAGCACGAATATTCATATTGTCAAACTAACTGATCACTCGTCAGACCAGGTAACATCCTGCAAACCGATGTTCTGGTCGAGGCCCGGGGCATCCCACACCGCCAGCGAGGTGTCCACGACGTTGTAGGCGCATGGCTCCTCGTAGTTGTGCTCGGCATCACAACCGTGGACGGAGTCGCACTCGTCCACCACCTTTAAAAATGCAGGAATAAGAAAAACATAAGATTGAAATGTCATGTTCATCTCAATCCTACAAGTTTTGGGTTGTTTGATTGCATCATAGGAAAAACATATAATTCTTTCAAAGAGGTTTGAGTGGATGCTAGAAATTCTATGAACATAGTATAAAAAAACTTTAGAAAAAATTCCTATAAGATTCAATCTTATGAATCAAACAACCAATATAGAAAAAGTTTCTAAGGATTCTAATCCTTCAAAAATTCCTTGTAAAGTGGGGCAAATCATCTAATCCCCCCATCCTGGCACACCTACCCACTGTAGTGATTTTGGGTGCATCCGAACCAGAGCACCGAGTCGCCCCATCTCCTGGTGATTTCACTGCATGACTCCCTTCGATATCGTATTTGCTATATACTAGTGGTTGGACGCCGCCATTGCGTATCGCTTGAGAGGAAGGTGTGTGCGCGTTTCTTCATCTTGAAGAAAAAAAAATATTCCCTTCATCTCAAAATTAGAAGAAAAAAACTCACATCAACCAACTAGCTTAAGAGGACATCTCGAAAAGAAAAGAAAAAAAAACCTTACTTCCATCTTAAAAGAAAAAAATCTCGAAAAGAAAAAAAGCCTCACTTCCGTCTTCCGAAAAAGAAAAAATATCTAAAAAAACTTTTCGATTTTTTTAGGGAAAAGAAACTTTTGATGACTGGCCCCTTCTTTCGGCCTTAATGGGCATGGCTGAACCGCTGAAGGCCCACTTTGGTTAGCGAACGAACGCGGAGATTCTGGGGGGTCCTGCGGTGAAATCACCGGACTCTAGTCACCATGGTTACCGTCGCCGCCGCAGCCGCCTGCTACGACGAGGAGGTTCACAGCCGTGCCGCGCTGCGGGAGGCCTTCGGAGACTCAACAGACAGCGATTCCGACGCGCCCCGCGGCGCGGCTAGCACGCCACCGGTTCAAGGGGCGGGCCGCGAGCGCTGGAGATGGGCGGCGGTGGCGGAAGTAAGGGGCCTGTGGCTCTGCGCCGCCTTCCTCTCGCCCGACGAGCAGTCGCGCCTTCTCGCCGCGATCCAACGAGGTGAGTAGCCGGGTCGGTCGCCTCATGTCTTCCTCTGGCTATCTTTTTAGCTGGGCACTGTGTCCATATTTGGTTCCAGCCACCAAATCTCAGAGGAATTTTTTTTTTGAGGCAAATCTCAGAGGAAATTTAGGTCTAGCTTGCTATCGCTTATATGAATCCTAAATGTGTATGAGATGATTCAAAGTGTTGATGTGCCCATTTGTGTTTCTTTTGCAGAAGAATGGTTCAGTGATGCACACAACCAAGTAACTTTATTTCCCCTCGATTGTTTCAGATCTGGGAAATGTGCTTTACATTTTCATCAGTCGGTTTTAATGTTGAGAAATCTTTCAAAATCGATGTACTAGGCAATGAGATTTGGTGATCTCCCTCCATGGGCTGTCGAACTTTCGGCACTTGTTAGGGAAGCTATTTGCGTTGGTAGTGTTGATGATGCTAGTGTTGGCACTAGGTGGATGAACGAGGATGAAGACGCATGTCCTTTGCCGTCAGATTTACTGTGGAGAGAACCGCTTTTTGATCAACTGATTGCAAACACATACAAGCCAGGTGAGGTATGGAACTTTTATTCTCCTCCATAGTTTGGAGCCTATGTGTAACATCAAGCATGCAGATAGTGCTATAATTCAGATAGTCTTTCTTCAATATATATCCACAAAGGCAACTACACAAGTAAAGCAGCGGGATACAATTTTCTTTTCTTTTTGTTGAGAGTATTACATTTTTTCCTGTCATCTATTGTAACAAACTGATATTGCAATGTAGGGTATCTGTGCCCATGTTGATCTCATGCGCTTCGACGACGGGATCGTTATAGTCTCTCTCGAGTCTGCATGCGTGATGCGCTTCAGTCGAGAAGGTGCTGCCTGTGATACGCAAAAGCCCGGGGAGAGCGAATGTACAAACGTTCCCGTCTACCTGAACCCAGGCTCACTTGTTGTAATGTCAGGCGATGCACGGTATCACTGGAAGCATGAGATCAACCGCAAGCCAGGTGCTCAGCTCTGGAATGGGATGGAGCTTGAGCAGCATAGAAGAACTTCAGTTACTCTGAGGAAACTCAGGGCTTCTCCCAACTAAAATTGGCATTGTTAACATTTGTTGCATAATGTTATCGTTTTGGCAATGTTGTATACCAATTATTTCGCAGTGTATCATGGAGAAGTTTAATTAGGTTGCTACAGAAAATCAGCTAAATGTTTGCTTTGGGCATGTGAATACAATGCTATGTATTTAACAAAATATTGTTGACTGTTTAGAAACTATGCTTGCAAGATTTATTTTTCTTTCTGCAGTCATATGATCTACTCCCTCCGTCCCAAAATAAGTGTCTCAACTTTGTATACTAAGGTGGAGACACTTATTTTGGGACAGAGGGAGTATAAAATATTGTCGAACCAGGCTGTAATACATGAATACACCAATTCTCTAGTCATGACGTTAGTTGTTGATCTTTTTTCCTTAATCAGTTGATCATGGTGATATTTACAACCATCCTAGCACCATGTGTTTTTCTTTAAGCACAACTGCAAGTGTGTATAAAGAGCACTCATTAATTCCATAACAAACAATGCACACGGCACACATTTTAGTTGATGGCTGGTGAACTGGTGATGGCTCAGTAACTGGGCCTCATACATGATTTAGATAATTGATGCGCATGGTTCTTAACCACCACAGGTCGCCAGTGAGTGTTCAGCGGTAGCAGGGCATAGGGTATTCGGTTGCTTGGGAACGATCCGCCCAGGGGTAGGGTTGATCCCCACTCACCGAACCCTCCATTCACTCTAAGGCCAACTTCAACGCTCAGACCCTAAACAGATGTCTGTTTTCTTTAGATTTTGTCCGTTTGGATCGAAAAAACGGACACACACGTCCAGATGTCGTCCTCCGGCCGCTGCATCCTAAATTTTTGTCCACTTTTGGACTATCAAATTAGACCTAAATAGACAATGCAAATAATTTTAATATATATATATATATATATATATATAGTGTTACTATTCATCACCCAGGGTGCAGAATAAGTTATTCTTCACCCGAGGTAATTTTACGATCATTTCATAATTAAATTACGTTTGGAATTCAAATAGTTACATTTCTATTGATTCACTACGTAAAATTTGACATAAAAAAAGTAAAAATATAGGTCATAAGACAAGAAAATTTGCAGTTTATGTGTATTTTAGACTATGTTTTTACGTTTGTAATTTTACATAATATAAAATATTTTTTACGGCGTTTATATATTTTCTTATGATCCCTTTTTGCGTTGGAAATAAGACAAAACTTATATATATATATAGGAAAATAGTTGTGTACTCCTGGGAGTACGTACTCCCGCTCCTCATATACAACATAGATGAATCTTTTGTACCTTTTTATTATTTTTAATATACTTCATTAGTAATTATTAGATACCCCAAAATGAGTTTCATGAAAAAATTCATGTGAGTCTATGTATTTTTAAATATTTACGTATATACTGATGTGTTTGTACGTGAAAAGATATATTACAAAAAGTACGTCGCAGATGATATTTTTTCAACTAAACTCATATTGGGGTATCTTAGAATATTTAATGAAGTATATTGAGAATAATAAAGAGATACAATTAATGCGTATATGAGGTATATTGAGGATGGGAGTACATACTCCCAAGAGTACAGAAGAGGAGTATATATATGTATATATATATATATAGAGAGAGAGAGAGAGAGAGTGACACTATTCTGATCCTAGGATCAGAATACTTATTCTGGTCATGGCGCCTCTATATAGACGAGATTGACATTTCCCGAAATTTCAAACCGGTCGACCGAAGGAAAAAAAACACAGCTACCCCTAACCTCCCATGTCCCCTGCCTTCTGGACATCCTCTATCAAATCGCCGCCACATCTCCCGCTCGGCCGACGCCCTCCTCCACGGCCGGCGCG